GCTTGGCATATTTTGAGGTCTTGGTGGGGTGGGGAAACACTTTCAGGTCAGTTCAGTTTCAGCTCAGGGTCTGTTGTGTAGCATTTTCCTGGAGATTGAAACATTCCACCCTGCAGAGAAGTTCCTTAAACCAGAGGGTAAACAACTCAAAATAGCTTCTGAAGTTCCTGAAACCAACTGGATTCACTAGGCTGCTCCCTCCCAGAATAAATGATAAAGACTGCTGAAAGTCACTCCCAGATAAGCCAAGCAGCAAAGAAAATAGTGAGACCCCATTCAGCTGCTTGGAAGAATCAGAAGCCAGTCCAGTTGCTTGGGGGTTTACACCAACTGATTCATATGGAAAGGACACTCTTTAACCTGAGGCTGTACATCATGCTCCAGGTTCCCGGCTTTTGTGAGCTGTGACCTGTGTTGGGATGGGCTTTGGTGATGCAGCTGTCTGAGTAATTTCTGATTCTGTAAGTAACCTCTCACCTGTAAGAAAATGGTCCAGGAATGGAGTCATGTGAGAATTGTGAGTGCTCATGAGAACACTCCAAGATAGAGTCTTCTGATCTCAGTTTCTTCAAAACACAGAACTGTTCTTGGAATGTGTTTTTGTGTTCATCCCAGGCGTAGCAGATAAGAGTGAGTTTATTCCCAATTTCTCATTATTGCTTGCTTTTGTTATTCAATTACGTGTTTAAACTATCTTTCATATGCCCTTGTGGGAAAACATGTTTTTGCCACATGCAGCTTATCTTTGTGATTGTATATAGATTGAACTCAGGAGAACTTTACTTGTGTGACTGTTTTTTGGCTTTTTGAGACAGGGTTTCTCTGTATTGTTTTGGAGGCTGTCCTGGATGTGTGACTCTTCTTAATCCTTAGAGTATAAATTGTCTGATGCTCTGAATAAAGCTGGCTGTTGCATGAGACTTTAGTCCTCCTCATTTATCGGCTCCATTCTCCCAGGTCCCACCACCTCTAGAGCAATGACACTCACCCATATTCCTGTAAATAACCCAAATAAAACTTATAACTTTAGCGGCATCTGTACTTTGGTCTGCCTTGGACTCCTGTCTGGGAAGAGAAGAGGTGTGTGTTATGTCTCCCCAGACGCAACTAAGAACAATAGCAACAATAGTCTGTAGTGTTTTGGGAAACTCTTGGACAGCCCTGACCAACAGCTCAAAAGAGGGCATCTCATATGTGGTGTTGGAGTTTTAGATGGTCCTTGGCTCTTGGAGGGAGCCCATATGAGAAAATTTCCATTTAAACTATACATGTATATTTATACACAGATTTGCGTGTATTGTAAGTTTCTTGTGGGGGAGGGTGATAGTTAATAGTGTGATTCCTGATGACTTTTTCACACATCCTTACTGATATTTTTCTCTACCTCATCTCCCTCCCCCTAACTAGAGGTCCTCATTTTTATTTCTCAGAATAGACCACTAGTACCTTGCTATTCCTCTCTCTGTTGCTCCCCAACCCCCTACAGTTTACCTTAAATTTAATTTTCATTTCCTGACTTTTCCAGTTACTTCAGGCTGTGTACTCATCTGATGATTTAGAACTGGAAGACTCAGATAAAGGAGAACATGGCATTTGTCATTCTGGTGGGTTATGTCACTCAATATAATTTTTACTAGTTCCATTATTTACTTACAGAGTTCATGATTTCATTTTTATTTACAACCCAATAGTATCCCATAGCATAATATATGTAATATATTTCGATCATATTCACTCCTTACTGCCCCCTAAATCCACCCAGATCCAGTTCCAATCTCTTTATACCCTCCTGCTTCATGTCCTTTAAAAAAATAATAGCCGGGCAGTGATGACTCATGCCTTTAATCCCAGTACTCAGCAGGAAGAGGCGGAGGATCTCTGTGAGTTTGAGGCCAGCCTGGCCTACAGATAGAGTACCAGGACAGCTAGAGCTGTTACACAGAGAAACCCTGTCTTGAAAAACCAAAATAATAACAACCCGAATCCAGTTTCCTCTGACCATATGGTCCTGGGTATGAGGTCATTCATTAGAGTGTAGTTGACCTACCAAGAATCACACTTTTTTGTTTTTTTGAGACAGGGATTCTCTGTGTAGCTTTGGAGCCTGTCCTAAAACTCACTTTGTAAACCAGGCTGGCCTCAAACTCACAGACCTCTGCCTCCTGGATGCTGGGATTAAAGACATGTGCCACTCCCCACCCCAGCAAGAAGCACACTCTAAAGAAAATTAACTTTCCATCTACCAGAAACCTTCAACTGTCAATAGCTCTCCTGTTAGGAACAGAGGTTCCTGAATCTCTGCCTCATCCAAGTTAGAATGCTAACTGGTTTGATATTGCAGAAGTTTTGTGCAGGTAACAACAGCTGTTGTGAGTTCCTGAGTACGGTGGTCCTGTCAATACAAGACACTGTTTTGCTCTTGTATTTTTCAACCACTGACTGTTAGTCTTCCTGCTCTTCTCCTGAGATGGTCCCTGAACCTCAGGGGGGATTGTTACAGATGTCCCTTTGTGACTGAGCACTCCAACGATATATATTCTCTGCAGCTGGACCAGTTAGTTGTGAGTTTCTGTGTTAACCACTATTCACTGCACAAAATACACTCTGTTGTGATTCTTTTGAAAACACTTCTCTATGCCTTTAGAGCTAGGTTCTTATTCTTCTATGCCTATTATCTGTAGACTTGGTCTTTTCAGAGTGGTACATTTATCTTGGAATTCCAATTTATTCCCACCTTATTACTTCATTTTTGCTTAAGATTGTTCCAATTCATCCACTTTGTCTTCAAACTCAGATATTCCAACCTCTCCTTGACCCATTCTATTTGTGATACCTCTCACATAGCTCTGTATTTGACTTATCATGGTTTTTTTTTTTTTTTGGTTTTTCGAGACAGGGTTTCTCTGTGGCTTTGGAGGCTGTCATGGAACTCACTTTGTAGACCAGGCTGGCCTCGAACTCACAGAGATCCGCCTGCCTCTGCCTCCCAAGTGCTGGGATTAAAGGCATGCGCCACCAATGCCCAGCACGATTTATCATGGTTTTCATTCTCAGAATTTCAGAATTTTTTCTTCAGTGTTTGTCTTTGTTGAGCTTTTCTTTGATATCTTGCAGCTGTTTATGTTCTCGACGATGAGATCATCTTCTTTTTTGCTTCTGTAAATATACTCACACATATCTTTTTGAATTCTGTCAGGAATTTCATGTACCTCACTCTCACTAGATGCCATTACTATAGAATTAGTAATTTTTGGAGGAGTTATGTTGTCTTGAATTTTGTGTGCCTTATGCTACTGTATTGAGATTTATGCATCTGGTATCATTCCTTCTCTGGGTTTATTTATCAGCTATATTCTTTCATTCCAAGTATTTGCAATGTTCAAATAGAACTTGGACGTGGTATAATAGTTTGTAGTTCAAAAAATAGTTCCTCAGTCATTAGCAGCTGATATTTGCTGCTTTGAGAGTGTGGCCACTGGTGTGTTCCCATGCTCTAGTATAGTATGATACCACATCTGTGCACACATGGGCAGCACTAATTGAACCTAGTAGGTTATCTCCCTCTATTAGTTAGAGTTACTATTGCTGTGAGGAAACACCATGACCAAAAAGCAAGTTGGGAGGAAAGGGTTTATTAGGCTTACACTTCAGCATTGCTGTTCATCACTGAAGGAAGTCAGGGCAGGAACTCAAACAGGGCAGGAACCTGGAGGCAGGAGCTGATGCAGAGGCCATGGAGGGATACTGCTTATTGGCTTGCTTCCCCTGCCTTGTTCAGTTGCTCAGCCTCCTTCCTTCCTTCCTTCCTTCCTTCCTTCCTTCCTTCCTTCCTTCCTTCCTTCCTTCCTTCCTTCCTTCCTTTCCTTTCCTTTTTTTTTTCCAGACAGGGGTTTCTCTGTGGCTTTGGAGCCTGTCCTGGAACTAGCTCTTGTAGACCAGCCTGGCCTCGAACTCACAGAGATACACCTGCCTCTGCATCCCGAGTGCTGAGACTAAAGGCGTGCACCACCACCACCTGGCCAGCCTGCCTTCTTATAGAACTCAGGACCACCAGCCCAGGGATGGCACCACCCAAAGTGAGCTGGGCCCTCCCCAACTATCACTAATTACGAAAATGCCCTACAGGTTTGCTTGTTAAGCCCGAAGTCTGGAACTCGAAACTCATCACCACCATGAGACTGACTCTGATGCAAAAACAAAGGTTTTATTTTGCAAGTTAACTCAGGGTCTTTCCATCTGTCAGAAGTGGCGGCAGAGACAACAAAAATGATGACAGTGACAGGAGCAGAGCAGGAGAGACCCAGAGCATCCAGGAGGGAGGGGCTTGGAGAACTCCAAACCTGCCCAGCTACAGGCTTGGGATTGGCTCAAACCTGAAACTGAGCTGATTGGCTGCCCTGGGAGGAAGTCCAAGCCTACTAGATCGTGCTTGGCTGCCCCATGAAGAGGCAGGAATTTCCACTCTAGGGGAATCCCCAGCCTGAGGAGATTCCAAACCCAGGGGGAATTCCAAACCTGCCGGTCTGGGATTGGTCAGTTTTTCTAGCTCAGGGATTGGCTAGTTTTGAGTTAGGGATTCCAGGGCCAAACTGTGTTTCTTTCTGTGATTCATTTTGGTTTTTTGGCTTCAATTCTAGGGCCTGGACAAATTTCTTTTACATGTCCTGAATCTAGGGGCCAAGTGTGCTCTTTTGGCGCTAGTTTCACAGTTAGGGTGTTTTTCTTTGATTCTAGGCTTAGGGATAAAGTGTCTCCTTCGCTGGCTTGGGTCCGGAATGCAAGGTGTGTTTCTTTTACTGGCTTAGGGCCAAATGGTTCAGGGTCTGTGTAGGGGCTGTGGACCCGGGATTTTCTGGGGCCTGGTTCTCCCATAGCCCAATCTAATGGAGGCATTTTCTCAATTGAGAATTTGTCCTTTCAGATAACTCTAGCTTGTATCAAGTTGACATAAAACTAGCCAGCACAAGCGACCCTTTAGCAACTTGACACACAAACACATCATTGTTAAACCATACCCTTTTCTTTCTTCCCCAAGATAACACATTATCATCAACATTACAATACTAACAATATTAGCACCCCAAATTAAAAATCTCCCAGTTTTTAAAATTCAAACACGTAAAATTCAGTCTCTTTAAAATAGTCAGTCTCTTTTAAAATCCAAAGTCTCTCAATTGTGACCTCCTGTAAAATAAAAAATAAATTACTTTCTTCGAGAGAAGAACTAGGGCACAGACAATGAAATCAAAGCAAAATCAAACTCCAACTGTGTAAATAACTCAGTGTCCAATGTCTGGGATCCACTCACCATCTTTTGGGCCCCTCCAAAGGGTCACTTCTCTGGCTCTGCCCTCCATGTCACACACAGCTTGTCTTGTAGGCTCAGTGTGGCTCCACTCCATACCTACTGCTGTCCTTACAGACATCTCCAAAATCCTGGGGTCTTCTGCTGCAAGTAGGCTACACTTTCACCAATAACCTCTCCTGGTCTCTCTTCAGAAACTCCAGCTCTGCCACACAATGTAAATTTCAGCTGTTCTCCCTGACCTCTTCATGCCTTCAAAACCAGTACCATTTGGGTGACTCTCACATGACCAGGTTTGGCTGCCAACAGGAGGTACAAACTTGGCCACTTCTGGAGCACAGTTTCTGTGTGCTGACCCTAGGGAACCACTTCCCAGAAGATTTCACCTCAGTGATGCTGGTATCTTCTTAATCACAGCTCCTTTAGCTCCAGCTGACAAGTACAGATTGTCCCACTAAAGCAAAGGTTTTAATTTAGCACTTCTGGTCTCCTGTTAATCACAGCTGATTCTTCAGCCCCAGCTGACCAGATGCTACAGATTTTTCACACAATAGGCCTGATAGAGTCTTTGCTTCCCTCTGAAACTTCAAAAGCCAGGCCTTCATCATCTGCCCTGATTTAAAAATTCTTATCTCTCAGGCTCCTACAGAACAGCTCACTGCACTCTCAACACTCAGTGGCTTATTAGTTGGGATTATTACTATACCTTCGTTTGACTTCTGAGGATCCTTGCACATGCACACACACACACACACACTTACTTTTAAAAATAGTTCCACAGAGGCAGGTGGATCTCTGAGTTCGAGGCCAGCATGGTCTACAGAGCGAGTTCCAGAACAACCTCCAAAGCAATACAGAGAAACCCTGTCTCGAAAAACCAAAAAAAAAAAAAAGATATTAACTCTGGGTGTTGGAGAGATGGCTCAGTGTTTAAGAGTACCAGGTGCTCTTCCAGAGGACCCATGTCCAATTCCCAGTACCACATGGCAGCTCACAACTGTTTGTAACTCCAGTTACAGGAGCTCTGACAGCTTCACACCAATGCATATAAAATAAAAAAAAGATGAACTCTGAAAACAACAGCTCCTTGATATTGCCCCTACGCAGCTGTCATACTAACCAACTAATAACAGTGGTCCCTTTGATTTCAGTAACTTGAAGGATAAACAATCAAGGATAGTTTTTGGCTAATAATATTAGGAAGGGATGGGGAATTAGAATGGGTCAGAATAAGGATTAAATATTACACCAACTTTGCAAAGAAAAAGATGGAATGGGAAGTTGGGATCCTGTTAGTGTCCACAGATTTTAGAGATTATCAAAGCTATGGAAGGTGTCTTGGGTCAGTGTTCTATTGCTGTGAAGACACACCATGACAATGGCAACTCTTATAAAGGAAAGTAGTTAATTGGGGCTGGCTTACAGTTTCAGAGGATTAGTCCTTTGTCTTCATGGTGGGGAGCTTAGCGACATACAGGCAGACGTGGTGCTGGAGAGGTAGCTTAGACTTCTACACCTGGATTAGCAGGAAGAAGGTGAGACTGGGTCTGGCTTGGGCTTTTGAAACATCGAAGCCCACTCCCAGTGACACACTTCCTCCAACAGGCCATACCAACTCCAACAAAGCTACATCTACTCAAGTAGTGCCATTCCCTGATGACTAAGCCTATGGGGTCTTTTTTATTTAAACCACCACAGAAGGCTATAATGAAAAGGTAAAAAGAGGATAGACTAAGGATGTGAGTAAGAGGAAAACATGTAGGAATGGAAATTGTTCTATATTAGTGTGACTGAAGAATATACTGAAGAATGCCTTACAGTAAGCTGGGTGGAGAGTCCTAATACTTAACTGGGCAATATAAAAATCAAGGCATAGCCATCATGAGCCAACTGTGGATGAATGGAAAGTATAGAAAATAAGAATACTTATGGAACGGATTGCTGCCACAGCTGCACTGAGTTGCAAGTTGGAGTTTTAAGATTCCACTGGATCTCCAGGGTTCATGAGCACTGTCCACAGGAGAGGTGAGTGGGGGTCATTGTCTCTGCAGCCTCAGTGTTCCTGGGACTCTGGAATGTGGGGAAGGAGAGGTGGTCAGTCATTTACTAGTAGTTTCTCTCAGACACCTGTATCTTCTTCTTCTTCTTCTTCTTTTTTTTTTTTGGTTTTTCGAGACAGGGTTTCTCTGTATTTTGGAGGCTGTCCTGGAACTCACTCTGTAGACCAGGCTGGCCTCAAACTCAGAGATCTGCCTGCCTCTGCCTCCCGAGTGCTGGGATTAAAGGCTTGCGCCACCAACGCCTGGCCCGGACACCTGTATCTTACCATGGTCTCATCTGTTGCTGTAGGTAGAATGTATGTGTGCAGCAGCATGTCCCTTGCAGCTAGTTGCTGCATTAAAAAAATATCAGTTAAGCTTGGCGGTGGTGGCACACACCTTTAATCCCAGCACTCGGGAGGAAGATGCAGATGGATCTCTGTGAGTTCCAGGCCAGCCTGGTCTACACAGCTAGTTCCAGGACAGGCTCCAACGCAATACAGAGAAACCCTGTCTCAAAAAACCAAAAAAAGTAAATAAAATTCTTGTTTAAAAAACATCAGTTAAGGGATTTGGGGTATAGTCCAGTAGGTATGGTGCTTGCCCAGCATGCATGAGGATTTGGCCCCATTCTCAGCAATGAACTGGAGTTAAATATCAGACAATAGTGAATCACCAGACCCTTGGGGGAAAAGTGAAACAGAAAAAAGATCAAGGTGAGTGAACAGAGGAAAAGACATTATCTTAGTTTGTTTTCCATTGCTGTGATAAACACCATGGCCAAAGCAGCCTGGAGAGGAAAGGGCTCGTCTCATATGTTTCTAGTCCTCATCCAGGGTAGTTGGGAACAGGAGCCCGAGGCAGGAACTGAAGCAGAGAGAGCATGAAGAAACCCTGCTCCCTGGCTTTGCTCCCAAGCTTTTTTTCAGCTATCTTTTACCTCTCAAGACCCCCTGGCTAAGCATAGCAACTACCACAGCCAACTAGACCCTCCCACATCAACTCTAAGAAAACGCCCTGCAGGTGTACCTATGGGCCAATCTGGTGGGGGCATTTTTCTAAATTGAGATTCCCTCTTCCCAGACGTGTCTAGAGTTGTACCAAGTTAACAACAACTTAGCAAGCAGCACAGACATTCTCAGAGGACTCTGACTATGCAACAGTCTGAAAAAGGCAAAACTATAGATAATACACTCTGCCCTCCAGAACATTGTGCTCCAGGAGTACAATCACAATGGCAGCTGAAAGGAGTTCTGAAGTGTCTGCAGGGCTACTCTAAAAATTGTCTTCGTGGACAACACCTGTATACTCTCGTAATGGGAAAGAAGGCTTTCATGAGTTGATACTTGTATACTCCCAAGTATTTTCCTTTCCCCCATATGGATAGGTTTAGCTGTTCTCTAAACTTAAAGTCCTATTTTTAACTAAGATTTCCTTTTTCTTTTTATCCCTTTTGTTCCTATTTCTTTCTTTTTTTGAGACAGGGTTTCTCTGTGGCTTTGGAGGCTGTCTTGGAACTAGCTCTTGTAGACCAGGCTGGCCTCGAACTCACAGAAATCCACCTGCCTCTGTCTCCTGAGTGCTGGGATTAAAGACGTGCACCATCAACACCCGGCTTTGTTCCTATTTCTTGAGATAAGAGTTCACTATATAGCCCAGGCTGGTCTGAAATGTACTACATACTATATAGCCAAAGCTAACCCAAAATTTGCAACAACTCTACTGCTTCACCCTCTCAAGTTCTGGGATTACAGGTGTGACTCATCTACTTGGATTGATGAACAATTTTATTAAAACATGTATCTTTATCATTTATTCTTGTTCTTTACCCTAAGCAGTCAAAAGGAACCAAGCCATTCATTCCTTAAACACTTTGCTTAGAAATAACTTCAGGTAGTCATAGAAACAGAAAATAATAGAATGACTGTTACTTGTAGCTGAGGCTCAGGAATTGGGAGACACTGGTGGAGAGAGTAGGAAATTTCAGTCAGGGTAAGAGCTCCAGATCTGACAGAGGTAGAGATTAGTGGAGCTCACCTGTAATTCATGCCCTAGGAATCCTGAAGCAGGAGGGTCTTGAATTACTCTAGTGTATACTATGATGACTTTTGTTAATGACAATGTATACTTGGAAATTACTTTCTTTTTTTGGTTTTTAGAGACAGGTTTTCTGACTGTCCTGGAACTCACTCTATAGACCAGGCTGGCCTCGAACTCACAGAGATCCTCATGCCTCTGCCTCCCAAGTGCTGGGATTAAAGGCATGCGCCACCACTGCCTGGCCTACTTGGAGATTGCTGAATGAATATACTTTTAAAGTATTTTCATTATAAAATTACATTATTAAGTAATGCATACAGGCTTTCTTTTGGGGCTTTGTTATTGTTATTGTTTTCTTTCTTACAGTGCTAGTGATCAACCCCAGAGCCCTGACCATGTCAAAAAAAGTGCTTTTACCAGCCGGGTGTTGGTGGCACATGCCTTTAATTCCAGCACTTGGGAGGCAGAGGCAGGCGGATCTCTGTGAGTTCGAGACCAGCCTGGTCTACAAGAGCTAGTTCCAGGAAAGCCTACAAAGCCACAGAGAAACCCTGTCCCGATAAAAAACAAAAAAGAAGTGCTTTACCACCACTGACATATACCTCCAGCCCAGGTAATCATATGGTAAGTACTTAATCTAGTTATTCTACAAAGCACATATATTTTAAAACATTGTGTTTGGCAATATGGGTATTTTATTATTTGTTAGTTTTTTTTTTTCCGAGACATGGTTTCTCTGTGTAGCTTTGGAGCCTATCCTGGCACTCACTCTGTAGACCAGGCTGGCTTCGAACTCACAGAGATCTGCCTGCCTCTGCCTCCTGAGTGCTGGGATTAAAGGTGTGCACCACCACCAACTCCCAGCTATTCGTCAGTTTTTAAAAGTAATAATAAGTTAATGATTGTGTTACATGGCTCAATGGGTAAAACCACATCCTGAAATCAGTCCCTGGGACTCACACGGTAGAAGGAGAGAATTGACTCCTGCAAGTCATCTTTTGACATCCACACGTGTGCAAAGGTACACATATACAGCATGCCTGGAGGTCACTAGCATCCCCAGACACACCTGCAAGAGTTCTTGCCAGAGACATTGATCACAACAATTGCATTCAACACTGAAACCTTGATCATGTAGGGATTTTTTAGATTCACTGGGCTGGAGCAACCTATGTTGCTGATGCACAGTTTCTACAGCCCACACTCCGTAAGAGACTATGTTTTGAAACACTGGACAGACAACTGAGATGCACACCTGTCTGGGACTGGCATACCTCCGTTGAAAAACATATGAAAAGCCGGGTTTTGTGGCTCGCTCCTGAAATCTCAACAGTCTGGAGGCTGAGACAGAAGGATAGGGAGTCTGAGGCCATCCTGGGTTATACAGAGACCTTGCCTCAATAGAAATTCTGTAAAAGACTTTCCTTTAGGGCATGGGATAAGGTGATAGTCAAAAGGCAAGAGCCTGTCAGCTCACGACATTCTGGCCTATTGCTAGGAAATCTCTTTTTCTTCTTTGCTTCCCTATTCATTTACTTCATCAAGTTGCAGCAAAGTTACATGTTACAAACCTATCCTTCCAGCAGTTTTTCAATATACGACATATTGTTAACTGTGATCACCACGCTGTACAGTAAATCTCGAACTCCCTTTCTTCCTAATAGA